TAATTTTTTTATCTCCTTTTTTATGGTTCCCATTTGAAACCAGCACTCAGCAGTGTTGTGGTTTGTGACACGATCTGGAAATCCACAGGATGAAGGACCAGGATGGGATGGAAGAGGCTGTGTACGTGTGCAAAGGAAAATACCTCTGCTTTCAGCCAAAGAGATTCCCTTTGGGCTTGTTGGGTGATGAAAACCTTGAACTATTTAGACCTTATCTTAGCATAACATTCATAGTTAACTTCCCAGGGTTGTTTCTTTATTTAGTAAGTGGAAACTGCCTGCTCCCGGCGTTGGCCCACCTCATGCAGCAGCATTCCACACGGCTGTCCGTGATTCAGCGTGTTTTTTCCATTGGCATGCCGGCCGGAGATGCCCTCCTCGGAACGTTCTACCTACTGCGTTCACAGGCAGAGTCATCCGGCGGGACGAAAAGTACCTTCACCTGAATAGCTCGAGGTGTTTTGCCCATCCTCCCTGGAACTGAATTAACTGGTAACTCTGGGGAAGTTGCCTAAAATCATGGGAAAAAAGATAAGGGAAAGTTATCTTGAAATTGAAACGTATTTTCAACGCAAGTTTGGAAGGACCGAATGGAAAAGAATTGGCAATTTCTAGACAAGGGATTCCTTAAAGTCAGAGACTCCTGTCTTCCTCCTCCTGATTCCTCCATTGCCAAGTAAAGTGCCTGAAACTACATGCACACGTACACATGTGTGCCCACATGCATGCTCATGCACACACATGCATACACACACATTAAACATCTCTTTGTATATTATACTATAGACAGCAGGCAATATATTTATGTGTCATGCTGTTCAGCAAATCATCAATATATAACATACACATTGTATGGTGATGACTTCACTGAATAGCAATCCATTAGCTCAGGGGGATGGCGGGCTAGGAGGTGTTTTCACCTGGCTAACCTGTACCTCAGCCTGGACATGGTCTTTTTTATAAAGCTTCCTCTTACTCTGAGGAAAGTCGGGGACTTATTTCTCACCCTGTTACCATACTCCTCCTGGTATTGCCTCGTAGATCCGCCTTTTTCCTAAGCCCCCTGTGATAACGAAACCAAACCAAACCAAACCAAACAAAAAAGCAACACCGGATTTGAAGGTAGGGACTGACCCTCTGTATTCAACTTCCTAACATTGAACTTGGTACATAGGAGGGGTCCAATGATGTTTACTAAGTGAACAAAAAAATTGTCTTTTTGCTGTATTTTAGAGCCATTTAGAGTGCATAGAAAAGCCCAAAACTTTCTGTACTCTTTTAGATTCCTGGTGCCAAAACCAAGAAACCCAGACTATCGGAATTGAATGGTATCAAGTCAGTGCTAAAAATGGAAAACCAGAAGAGAAAGTGTCTCATTGATTCCTACACGAACACTTGTCACAGTTGGGGGTTGAACACAGTGGACCTGCTGATTGTTCCATACTGACGCAGGAGCTTGTCAAATAAGGAGACCAACAAGAACAGTGGGGAGAAAGACCTCCCCTAGGCCCCTCTGCTGCGGCTGCCCAAGGAAATCCAAGCGATTCGGAGATGCTTCATCTCAAGAATATGAAGACCCTCTAAATTTCAATTAGGTTGAAATATAGAGGCGACACCTCGTTCTCCTGGTGACCCACATGACCAGGCAAGATACGATCTCACAGCAATGTCCACTCATTCCAGTTTCTAGGGTGATGTTTGGTGTTTTTAAATGGGAAATGTCACCACATTTCACAATGCAAAACCTATTTGCCGTTCAGATTCCAAGCAGTAAGAAATCTTTCCCATCAAAAATCACTTAAGATGCCCCTCCAATGACTGGCCTACTGACACAGGCTGGCTTGGCTAGAAAAGGCTCCCGCCACCTCCCCCAAAATAACAATAAGCCACGCACGTAGAGGATGCAAGCGAGAGAGACAGGAGCCTAGCAGCCCACACAGCCTTCTCACAGGTGAGCGGTAAGGCAGGTAGGTGACGCCAAAGGCCTCCGTGGAGCGTGGCCACTAGATTTGAGATGTAAAGGTGGCACTTGAGCCAGTGAGACACAGACAAACAACAAAGAGTCTGGTAAGGGCCCGTACCAAGTAGACGCCCCAGAACAGACAGCGCACAATGAAACAATTTGGGGACTGGAAAAGGGTCCCCATGTCATGGAAGAAAAACATAGTTTGGATTCAAACTATTTCCTAGACCCCCATGAAAAGGATTGTTGTTAGTTTCTTGGAGAAAATAGTCTGGATGTTGATATAAGAAATCTCAGTATATCTGTTAGAACTTATTGTACACATACTATGTAGATATGTGTATATATGTGTGTGTACGTATAGATGTACATATATATCTATTTGTGTATAATTAGCTGTATATTATACTTTTTATAGAGTGGGTGTTTATAAATCTTAACAGATACTGCTGTTGCCTCCATAAAATTCCAACTTTAAAATCTTATTTATGTATCACATTCATTATCTATCTATCTATCATCTCTCTAGGTGTCTTTAAACCAAAGACAAATCTATTTGTCACAAAACGAGTGCGTGTGTTGCTAATATTTTTGAAGTTCCTCATTCTGCAGTTCCTAAATGAAAACTGCTAGACTATTTAAAAACTTGATGTTGTGTCCTTGTTCATGCTGAGCTCTTTTTAAAATGTCTAACATTCACAGATATTTGTACCTCTGAATAGTTGTGCCTCCCGTTTCCCCACTCCCTCCAGAAATACTGATCGTTACTACATTGTCCTCTCAAACCAGACATCTCCAACTCTCCTTACTATTCTAGCTCATCTAGATCCTTCTGTTCTTCGAGGCTCTGTCCTCTATTACTCACTGTGGCACCTGTCTCCCCATGTGTAAGATTTTAAGCTAGTTGGGTGGATAATTCCTTGACATCTGTGACTTACTTTATATGCCCCCTCCCCCAAACTCTTAGCACAGTAGTGAGCCAATGGTAAATGTTCAACATGGATTTGCTCGTTGGGCGTAACTGAGAAAATTCCTTCCTTCCAAGTATGTGAACCATAAACACAGAAGCTTGGGTTTGGTGCATATTTACTGCTTGTCACATCTTGAGATGTCAATTCTGATTGCTTGCATCGAAGAGATACCAGGGGTGACTCATTAATTCAGAATATCAGAAAGTGTTCCCTACTGTCGCTTGTTCTAACCTGAAGTTTCCTCATATTTGAACCCTGTTTCATGAAAAGAGGAATGTGTTGAGATAAGCCACTTTCCTTAGACTTTTGTAAGGTTAAAATAATCCGGACATACCAGAGCCTTACCTTGGCTAAAGGCAGAAGGAGGAGCTGGATTTTATTTGGAAGAGTTCCCCATGTGGATAAATGTTTACTGAAGTGACTAAGCAGAGGGAATTCCGTCTGAAGTTTGGAGAGGAGACAAGAACAGGGAGCAGACCAGAGAAGCCCGGAGGAGAAAGTGTCACCTTTCAGAGGTCAATTTAACGGGTTGCGTGTGGCAGGATACGGGCGCAGAGGCCGTAAACCCGCCACCCGCCTGCTCGAGTTAGGGCATTACTCCTTCCGCATCACCCCATCCAGTTCAAAGCCAGGAAAACGCGGTGTATTGAACCACTACTTCTGTGTGACTCTGTGAGTCTTTTCTTCGGGGTGGTGTAGCAATCAAGATGAAATAGGGCCTGGTTAAAATTTGACAGCTGGAGGAGAAATAATGCTGCAAACAGTGTGGCTTAAGGGAAGGGGGTGGGGTAACGAAAAGGCCTGATTTCCACTGTTTCCCAGCCATTGGGGTGTGAGTGGCCACTCACCAGGTTGTTCTGAGCTTCCTCCATTGAAAACGAATAGTTACATCCCGAGGCTTTTGTTCTGATGTTAAAAAATCTTTAACTTTCATTAGATTAAAAAAAAAATTGTCTTCATAATGCTTTCCTCTTACCTCTTTTTTTCGTTTTAAATAAACTTCAGCTGAGTTACATCCTGTGGTCAATATTTTTAAAATCATTCTTTTTCTAGGATTTTGTAATTGATTCATTTTTCGCCCCATCTTGAAGAAGGGTAGGGAAGAGATAAATAATTACGGAGCACCTCTTCTGAGCCAAGGCTTTGACATTTATTTCATTCTCCAAAGAGTCTCATGAAATAGAAACAGCCTTCATTTTACAATGAAAGAAACCAAGGAGTCAGGGCCACGCTGAGCTGCTGAGTCAGGGAGGGTGTAGGGGTGGGGCCGGGTGGCTCCAGGTCCCTCTTAGGTCTGAGTTGGAAGCCCCTGTTCTTTCTGTCACATGATGCTAGAATTCTGTAAACAATGTAGGTGTCCCAATTAACAGATGGAAAGACTGAGGTACAGAGAACCAGAGGAATTTCTCAATTCTGCAGTAAATCAGCATTTTGAGTGCCAGGAAGAAAATTCAAGTTTTTGTTTTGTTTTGTTTTGTTTTGTTTGGGGGGAATAGAATGCAAGCTCAGACTGAAGGGCATGGCACAACAAAATACCCTTTTGTAGGATAACTTTACTTCTATTTGACACCAGCATTGAGTTATCAGGGTTTTAATATATTGAGACAGGGGAGAATTGAGCTTGCTGTGGTTATGTATATTTCATGTCAAATTCTAGTATTACCCTAGTGTTTGCTAGAGACTGTTTCAGAAGGAACATAGTTTATATCCTAAACATGAATGAAAACTGTATTTTCCAAACCCTGCTCCCTAGCTTTCCTGCCTGTCCAACGCCCTCCACCCCCGCCGGGCTGCCCCGTCCCCACCTGATAATGATGTCATATCTGAAGTGCGAAAGAATCTTATCTGGGATTTTATTTCTCCTTACAAAAAGCAATTTTCTTATCTGGAAATAATTTGTAATGCTGCATAGCACTGTACTTCCTCTTGCTCCAGAAAGAAATTTTTCCGTCTGAACTTCCCTGCATTGGTTTTTTTTTTTTTTCATTCTCTTTATTTGGGTTGTGTGTGGTTTTTTTTTTTAAGCCTGCCATCTGCTGAGTGAATGCCTTTGGCCTCGTACCAAAATGAGACTCAGAGTATCGTTTTCCAAAAGAGAGGATCAGAAGGAAACCCCGCCTCTTACACCCACTACTAATTATCATACGACAAAATCGAGCTGTTGCATCACCGGCTCATCACTTGTGAACCTCTGCTTTCCACTGCTCTCCTTCCTGCAGAAGATGAGTTTGGGACACATGGAGAACATGCCTTTGCACCAGGTAGCTCCCTCAGGGGCACAGAGGCCAGGCTGGAAGCTGTGGGTCTTCTCAGCACTAGCTCTTGTGCTGCTCGTGTGCTCCGTCAGTACGGTAGTCTTCGCTCTTCTCTCACTCAAGGTAAGGAGATGATAATAGGACCTGAGGTTGCTATTGATTATAATCTTCCTGTCTTTTGTAAGTCTTGTTGTTGCCGTTGCCACTCAGGGTTGTCAGAGCGAGTTGAAAGGAAGAGGCATGGGGTAGAGATGATAGAAATATAATTTCTGCTTGGTCATCCTGGCATATGGTTTCTGAGGCTTATCTAAGTGTTTTGGAATGAAAGGTATGAGAAATGTTAACTGTTGGCTGCAAAACTGAGTAGATAGAATCGCTTAATTAAGTCAGTCAACTGGCAGATGCCTGTGGAGTGTTCTTTCCCTTTCTGGAACTCTGTTAAATGAATCCTCCTGGTGGAATAAAAGGGTGTAAAACATGCTTGCTCTCAATGAATGGGGTGCAAGATATAGTCTAACTGAGGGAAGAGACATGAAAAGACCGTGGAAGGTGAATAAGGTAAGTGACATGTGGCTCTGGTGTCCTTGAGGAGGGACATGGCACTGGACTAGGGGTGAGAAGATCTGGATTCTGGTTCTTGCCCTCCCAATAACTAGCTGTACAAATTTGAGAAACGCGCTTCATCTTTCTGGCTCTCAGTTTTCTTCATGGAGGAAGGGTGAAGCTCGTTCCTATTCGGGAAGCCCCTGATACTTACCAGGAACTTCCCATTGAGCTCCAGTCCAGTGGGGGGTCCTGGTGAAGGAAATGGGGACCCATTAGGTCCTTACTACAATTTTTTCTGGCCGCTGACTGCACACAGTGCCACCCAAAAGGGAAATTTAAAAAATGTTTTATGTCATTTGAGATTTGGTCCCTCTGGGATATGCGTGAAGATTCTAAGCTTTGAGGGAGAATAAGGCGGGACATACCATTCAAGGAAGGGCTGTGGTGTGAAATGAGGGTCTGGGGAAACATTTTTCTGAGGGGATTGGCCAGCGAGGATGTCGAAGATACAGTTCTACCCCTGAAGAGATTTGAAAGCAATTGAGAAAAAAAAAAAAAATGCAGGAGCAAGCCACACACTGTAGTTGTTGGTGTTCATTTGGGGCCGGTGTGGCTTTGCCCACGTTTTCACACAGGAGGCCGCTCATTCGTGTTGCACAACGATGCACAGGTACACAGCAGCACGGCGAAGCGCATGCCCACGCTCCCAGGGAAGGGAGCGCGCAGAAGTCTGCATTCTCTGGGGCAGCGGAGCTTTGTAGAGAAAGACAAGAACTGTCAGGGGCTGCGAGTGTTTAGATTTCTGAAGCAGGGGTAGAGGGAGGTTAGCCACAGCTTAAATGTAGAACTGCTTTTTCCTTCTGAAGGCCACTAAAACTCAAGCCTCATTAGCCGGAAGACCTTGAAGGACATAGGACACGTTATGTGTCATCTGATCCTGCGCACGAATGGGGAACCAATGCACAGTAGAGGAGGGAAGCACACAGTGGTTCTTGCAAAGGGACAGGGGAGGTCTAATGGTTCCAGGAAAGGGGGACACCTCTCACCAGAATTGAACTTGACCCGTCCTATATGTTTGAGCTCTGGTTCTGGATCCTCTTTTCCAGACAACTTGCCGCTTCTCAATGAAAGCTTCTGCCTCTAAAGGAGTAGCCCAGAGTTTGTTCCAGACTTGGAAGTGTTTGAAAGGTTTTCAGGAAATTGCACTGGCAGGGTGCCACAGAGTTCTATCTCCTATGGGAAAAGCCAGTGGCCTGCCCAACAGTTCTAGCTCCTTACCCACTTTCCATTGCCTGCCCTGCCCTTTCCTTAGTGACCACACATAAACACATGTGGAAGAGAGGCCTGAGTGGTAGCAGTCGGTGAGTCATTACAAGGGGCCACTTCCACCTTCTTACAATATCCATGAACCTTGGAGTTTAGATTATTTTAATCTCCACTCTTTACTTTTATATACAAAAATCCCACTTTCCCGTTTCTCTAGGCCCTGATTCACAAAGCTTTAGACAGGAAGGTTGCCTCCTTCTAGACCAACAGAGATTTCTTTGGGAGAAAATTAGTTCTTCCCCCCACCCCTGGCCCCCGCTTTCGGAAGACTGCCTACTGAAAAGCACTGGCTAAAGCCCATGCAGCTCTGTCTAGTCCTCAGTAAAAAAACTTCACAGAGATTGTCGCTAAGAAATCAATGTCCAGGAGAGTCCCCTGCTTCAACGAAAATGAAGGATGCTTCCCCAAGGGGGAGATGCACTTCTAGTTAAAAGCAGAGAAGACTGTTTCCAAAGGATGATCCGATGAAGGTTCATTTGGAGGAAGAATTATTAAGCTTTCACCATTTGAACCCAGTCATGTAAACCTTGGCTTAAATCAAGTGGGGTTACAAGAGCAACTGATCCTCTTCAGCAATAAGTCATACATGCTTCTTTAGAAGTCAACATTAATTCCTTCCAAACATTACCAGGATTATAAATAGAAACCGCCCCATGGAGGAGTGGTAGGGGTGAGCCCCGTGAGTCATATCAGCCTGTCCTCTTATCAGCGGCTTGGCCTTGGACTGGTTACTTAATGTCTCTATACTCATTTCCACATATGCAAATGAGCGTGCTGCTAATTCTCGTTTTATGGAGTTGGGGTAAGGATTAATGAGACAGCACAGTGCCTGACCCACGATGGCCTCTAGGAAGATTGTAGTGATGAATACTTGTCCCATAATTATTAATGACAGTACAACGAAGCTAAATTTCAAGACTTTAACACCATGGGCATTCCTTTGTGAGGTAATTTTTCAGTTATGGAAGTCAAAACCTTTTCACCATTTGGTTTTATCTGTTTCACTCCCTCATCCAAACACTGTACCTCACTGCCAAGTAGATGATTGTTGTGATTGGACAGATTTTCGTTCGTGGCAAGAATTAGAGAAGGTTACAATGGTGGTATCTGGAGCTTAAATAGATATTAAAGCAGCCCACGAGGCAGTGTGCAGGATTTCTGTCTCTGGCAACCAGCCTGCAACCTTAAGTTTCTCCACACTCTTTATACAGGAGAGTACAGAACACAGATACTATCTGTGGCTCATACCTTGGCATCCAATTATATTTAGATTGTCACCCAGTTGCTCATGTATGCAACCATGTCTTTCTAGAAAGGCTGTAAACTTCTTAAGAGGCAAAGACCATAAATTACATTTGTTTCTCTTGCTTACAATTCTAGTGTAATGTTTGGAATGTAGGTGCTTTAAATTTTATTAAATTCTTCATTATAATCAGCATCATTATCAATACAGCTACTATTTAATGAGCAGGACCAGACTATCGGGGCAAAGCCCTTCACAAGAATGACCTCCTTTAAATCAAGACCAAGTTCAGTAAACTAGGTGCTATTATTTTTCTCACTTTGTAAATGAACAAACTGAAATGAAGGGACTCCCAATCACATGCCTCTCATGATTTAAACCAAATGGAATTTCAACATCTCTTCTAAGAAACCCCGAGATAAGAATAAAACCATTACAAAAGCAAAACCGACTGTAGGAATCAAGTGATTTATTCTAGAATAGTGGCTTTCTCACTTTTTGATTGTACCCCCAACTGAAATCAAAATGTTTTTTATTTTGATATCAACCCCCAAATATATGCTATTATAAATTACATACAAGTACTAATACTATATACATTAAGAAATGCCCAGAATAGAAATTTATAAGAGTGAACCAAATAAGATGCTTAATGTAGTTTATTCACAGTGCAAAACCATTTTGCTTTTACCAAAATATCATGTAAATATATAACAAACACTTTTAAAATAACTGAACTAATATGTTAGTAATTTGTTAAATATGCTACTTTTATTTTCTTATCTTAGTTTTGCACTTTGTGATACAATCAACTGAAGGTTATATTCTAATTTAACTTACTTGATTCATGGTTTTGACTTTCATAACTGAAAAATTACCTCACAAAGAAATGCAAATCCAAATGGAAGAACCCACTCTTGAGTGTGCTTACCATATTATGATACTGAATTTTTAAACCCTTATTCAATGGCACAAAATTTTCATATTCTTTTTTCTTAATTTAATTTTTATTTTTTAATCCTCACTTGAGGATATATTTGTTGATTTTAGAGAGAGAAGAAGGGCGGGCAGAGAGGGAGAGAGAAATATCAATGTGAGAAACGCGGATTGGTTGCCTCCGCTATGCACCCCGAGCAGGGACTGAACCCACAGCCTTTTGGTACACGGGATGATGCTCCAACCAACCAAGTCACACTGGCCAGGGCGAGTTTTTATATTCTTAAAAATTAAAATAAAGTTGGTTCTCAGTCCATTCACGCCTTTCCTTCCTTCCTTACACAGTTTCAATTCCACGGTTTATTACTATAACCCTAACCTTGCAGTGACCCATTCACTTGTTTCTCTTCATTATATTCTAATATTGAAACCTCAGTCCAGGAAAACTGACAACACTAATTAAATCCAGCTGCTTTGTGTCTGTCACAGTTTCACACAGCTGAGGAAGGAGACTTTGGGAAAAGGTCTTAATTTAGATTTATGGCCACTAACTTCAAGTGGGACTTCAGTTTTGTCGTGTACAAACCTACAATCCCTACAGTCCGTTACGTCTCCTCCATTTCATTCCCTTGACTTCTCTTTAAAGATCCAATGCCTCCTCCCCATTCTCTCACCTGCTATCCTTGCCTCCGGGTTCTGTGAGAAAACAGAGGAACCACGAAAGAGTTCCCGAGCTCCCCAGCACTGTGGAGCACTCTCCTGCGACTTCGTCCACATATGCCGTGTTTGTCTCTTGTCCCGATGTATGAGTTGCACACGTACCTCTTCCAAGCCACCCATGAACTAGATTCTGTCCCACCTTATCAACGCAAGGACACCGCTCCGCCAGCAGTCTCCTAGCTCTTCATCCCACCCCTCTCCACTTTCCTGACACATTTCCATCAAACGGCAACAGACGGCCATGTTGCCGTTTCCCTCATACTCAAACACGAGAACCAAACCCAAGCACGGTTCTCTGTGACCTCTCATCCCCAGCCAGGGTCCGTCCAGTTTTTCTGTCTTCCCTTGTGGCAAAACACCTCCCGTTTCTTTTGTTTCTCGCTTACTCGTGAATTCCTTCACACCACACTTCTGTCCTCATCACATCCCAGCCTGTGCTTTTGCTGAGGGCCCCCGTGACTGTGGGTCCCTCGGTCCATCCTCCGTCCTCTTCTTTCGTGACCCATCAGCGGCATTTGGCACAGCTGATAGCTCTTCTTCCCTGAAAACAATTTCTCCTCTTGGTTTCCAAATACCACACTGTCACATTCACTTTCTGACTCCCTTCCCCTTCTTTTTGAGCCTCCTTTGCTGGCTCTTCCTCATTCCCTGACCTCTGGACACTGCCCTGCCCCAGTGATCTTCGCTGTCTGCGCTCACGGGCCTGATGACCTCATACAGTCTCATGTCTCAAAGTGTCACATATCAGCTGGATATTCCACACTGATGTCCTCAGAACTCCTTAAGTTGCATCCTCATTGGCCCAGTGACTCTCCCACTTGGATATCTAATACGCCCCATGCGTTCGGCAATTCCCCAAACAAACTCATTGCTCTTTCTTTCCCCACAATGTGCTCCTCTTTAGCCTTGCTCATTTCATCGATTCATTCCAAAGACTCATGCCCCCAATATTGGCATCTTCTCTGTCTCTTTTCATTTTCTCATCCCATATCCAAGCCTGGACTCCTGTTGGCTTTTTCCAACTACGGATCACCAGGTCCACCTGCTAGAACCTTGCTGCTGTCTTGCCCAGATGGCCACAACGATCTCCTAGCTGGTCTCACTCCCTTGCCCTGACTCCCTTAGTTTATTCCTGGCGTAGGAGACAGAGAAATCATATTTAAAAATGTGCAACATCAAGTTCAAAAAGTCTCTTAAGTACTTGGCCACCAGGAAACCAATAAGCTTTACATAGTATAAATTTTTGGTTATACTTTATTTTACTACAAATATTTAAAGCCTTTAGTATTTAAATACATGTGCTTATAAAAATAACCACACTGATGGCTTCTTGCAGCATTGTAAGCTGTGGTATGTTGCAACAGTTTGAGACAGTTCTCCTCAGGGTATTTCAGTCACGATACATACCATGTGCTTATCTGAATATTAAGTAAGGGTGGTTTTATGAACTTGAGTTGTAAATATTTCTATGGTGTAATCTCTTGTTATTTAAAATAAAAATAAGCATAAATCGAAATTCTATTATTTTATTCATACACGCCAAGGGGTCACCTTGTGCAAGCACTGGAGTGGGGAGAGTAGTATTTATAGAAAATTTCTGTGGCCCAATGGACTGAGAGTCCACGATTGGACAGCTGTCCTGCGGGAAGAGGTTAGGGGATGAAATGAGATGTGGAATTTGCCTGGAGGGCTCCAAAGGACAGCTAGGTAATGAAAGGCCAAGGACGAGGCCCAAGTCAGGGGAGGTTTTTTTGGTTTTTGGGGTTTTTCCCTTAACATGACTAGCAAAAGAAGTTTGCTTGAGAAATTTCAAGCTCTCCATAAATCAGTTAAGAAAGCTGCGATGCGATCACTGTCCTGATCCACTTCCTTTTCTCTTCCCCTACAGACCGTCAGCACGCCCTGTGTCGCTAAGTTTGGTGAGTAACCTGTCTTGCATGCCTCCTTTCTACTTTTCTTAGCATTTGATGCAAGAAGGCAAGTTCCAATGCTGTGCAGGAAGCCTTTATTTTATTTCGGTCATTCTTCAGCTACTATTTCTAACTGCTTATCATGCGCCCACCAAGAGGTCCAGGAGCCGAGGCTTCCGAGGTCAACCAGATAGACCAGTGGTGCCCCGGTGAAGGTCACATCTCTGGGCAGGAATGCACAGCACTCTTACGGGCCTGGGCATCTGAGATCCAGGAACCTCTTTTAATTCGAGGTTTTAATAAGCACATGGTTCAGATTTCTCTGACAAACTCAAAGTCCTTCTCACATTTCACACGTCGCCAGTGTCCAGGAGAGAGAGAGAGAGTAGGGGGTGCTATTTTTGTTTCTAAATGTACAGAAGAGGAATGAGAGTTGGGGAGAGTGTCTACTTCCTCTGCCCCTTTCTCCTCTCCTCTGAGCTTCTGAGTCACTTTCCCTTATACTGACCTGACATTTGCTTAGAAAACACACTGAAGTATACAGTTAAACTGAGCCTTAGGGTATGTCTTAGAATACATACAAAAATGAAAATAAATGCATTTCGGGTTGTTTTGAGGTGTCAGGCCAAACACACATATTCAACCGAAAGACAATGTTTCTAGAGACAAACGGCAGCGCCTGCTTCCCATGCAGTTCAAACCACCAGGCCTCCCAGGCTCGTGGGATTTAGGGAAACTCTTCTGTCTTGTCTGCGTGATTTGTTTCTGCTTTTCTAGTGAGTGGAGAGGACCTCAGGATATATTTGAAATTCCCTTTTGATGTGGTAAAAGTTGAGGACATCAAGTGATGCTCTGGTGATCTTTAAGTGGCTCCCATTATGGAGCTAAGTAAAAGAACCAGCAACCCTTCTTCCTGTTGACTCACTGGCCTACTGGCTCCTGCCCATGATGTGTCAAGCCAGAGAGATTCCCTGGGCTCTGGGGGCACGCACACAGACCTCACTTCTTGCTCTAATGATCTTTTCTTTATGATCCCGCAGACTCTATGCTCAGAGTCTTAAATCAGTCATTTATATGTAAATACAAATTTTAGTCAATGTGTTATTTTTTCCAGGGTACTTTTTTGTCAGGGTTCTTTCTAGGTATGGGATATAGGCTTTGCCCCCTACAACAAAAATTGTGGAGAATTAGAGAACAGTCTAGGTAAGTATTTTGGGTGGTGAAAGCACTTCCTGGGGCTCTGAAATCACCACTGTGTACAAACAATGAACCTTAGGAAAATGTAAATTCCAAATGTCCCTATGGAAACAAATGACTAAGTCTTGACCCTTTCCCCACCCCCTGGGATAGCATTAAGCTGGGGATACCTATATTTAAACAGTCAAATAATTTCCAGTTTTAAATTCATGAATTTACCAGTAGCTATCTTTGGAGGGTTTGGCTGATGATGTAACCAGTGGTTCTTGAAGGACATGTACCTACAAACGGATGAGAAGGGTCCTAATTTAGACACCATGCGCCCAATCCGGGAACACGGAGGTATCGCTCAATCAAGAAATAGTTATCGAGCACGTACTAGGTACAAGGAACTCTTTTAGGTGCTGCAGATCTACCAATGAACGAAGATGTACTGAAGTGAGGAAGAGAGAGACAACAAAGGGACAACTTAATTCACATAATGCTGCTGACCCCTTCTAGGGAGAGAACTAAGGTGGGGTGAAGGGAGACAGTGCAGGGGCAGCACTATGGTTCATGGATTCAAGAAATGCGTCTCATCGATAAAGTGACACACAATAAATAGTGTTTCCACAGAAAAGCACGACTACTCCTCCTGGCGTGCCAGCCTGGCTGATCATAGTCCTGGTGCATGAACCCTCACTGAGGAGACGCACAATACCACATAAAACTTAACCCTTTTTTTCTATTCCAAATCCATTTCCTCAGAGCTCCCCAACCAAGTGACACACTTAGGACCTGCAATTTCTCTAAACAAAGAGTAGATAAGTACTTAATATATTCAAATTGTGGTTGGAGACAACTAGTATAGACCAGGTACAGAAACAACCTATTAAGATTTAAGGGGGAAAGAACTATAACCAGGAAGACGATGATATAATTAAATAACTATGCTTTCCATTTTTTCCCTCCTTTGCATATTTCTTCTAGGACCATTACCGTCAAAATGGAAAATGGTATCTCTTGAGCCTTCTTGCGTGAGGCAGATAGCTGACTGGAAGCTCCAGATACTTCAGAACGGCTTGTATTTGATTTATGGCCAGGTGGCTCCCAACACATTATGGAAGCAACTAGCTCCTTTTGATGTGCGGCTCCTCAAAAACGGAACCATCATCCAAATTGTAAAAGATAACACTACAATCCAAAATGTAGGCGGGACTTATGAGTTGCATCATGGAGATACAATAGAATTGACCTTCAACACTCCACACCAGGTTCTACAGAATAATACGTACTGGGGGATCTTACTGCTAGCCAATCCCCAATACAGCGCCTAGAGTCTTGATTTGGCCTACCCATCCTCTTCAGCACATGCTGAGGTGCTGGTGGATGGGTCGGAGGAGGCAGACTTTCAATGTCTACAGTTTGTCTGGTGCACAGATCAACATCCCAACAAAGAGAACTCCTCTGCATGTGAATTTTCCTCTCTCCTGCTTATCTGAAAGAGGCTGAGAGGAAGGGCCAAGGGCATTGGTTACGCCTGACATTGGTTTGGCAAAGACCTGACTAATCCATGGCAAAAAGAATTATGGGTGGCAAAATGGGAGAAGCTCCCCAAAGAGTCTTTGTCTAATTTTTGAATCCCTGGGTGGAAAAATGAGGTCTTATTCTCATGGGAGTTACCTAGTATGCTAAAAGGATCCAGCACAGTAGACTGGCCTTTTTCTCATATTCTTGGGCTATTTCACTTTATCTCTCCCCTACTCCCACCTTCTGAGACCCTCCTAATAAAAAGCAGTCAGACTGGTAGGGTCGCCAGAGATATGCCAACAACACCCCACTTTACATGTCATGATATTAGAGGACAGAGAACACTCTAGAGAGTCATTGGGACAGAGGCACAGGTGGTGTGGCATGGAATGCACTTTCTTTGGGTACTTCCTTTGATTTCATCATCCCCAGGTTGCAGGGTGCTTGATAGAGCCAGTGGGTCAAAGGGGCCACCTGAGCCTTCACACAGCGCTCTGTGAGAACTTGTTTGTGTGCGCGCCGAAACATCACTGATGGCAAAGGGAGAGTAAGCGTCAGTCATCACAAGATCTCTCCCCAGAAATTGGCACCGCCAGTGCTGCGGAATGTCATGGAATGATTTCGGGTATTTAGCTGGCTCTCCATGGTTTACAAAGTGCTTTCACATGCCACATCATGACTCTATAAAGTTCACGGGACAGGTCTTTTGGGCACTATTTTAACAAGGAGAATACAAAGGCAGAGGGCTTGTCTCACTCCACAGCACTCGTGACAAATGGGGCCAGCAGGCTTCCCACGGCACCACTGTCTCCGCTTTAGAGTTTGGTGTTCCTGCCATCACGTGATATGCCCATAAAGTTGAACACATTCGATTTTCAGAAGGTGTACTGCCTTTCAGCCCAAGATGGGTAGAGGGAAGACGCAACGAACTTCTCCTTTCTTAGCAAACTTGTTCTCCTTTTCCTGCCTGGAGCAGGGCATTCCGGGGTGTCGCTCAGGGCTCACTCCAACCAAATCCGCACTCTGCCTTTGAAGAGCCTGCCTTGATCAAATAGTTAGAAACGCAATGCGATGGCAGCCTGCCAAAGTCTGGGACTCTGTTAAATTAATATGCTTCTTGTGGATTCCTGTTGAAAGCTATATAATATGATTACATATTAACCGAATTGAAAATATTTATGGATATTTGTACAAAGTTATGTTAATTAATAGTATCACATATAAAGCTAATTTAAATATATTTGTACTGTGTATAACAGAAATTACTCTGAGAACAGGGTGAACCTGAGGCCAGGAGTTTTCTTAACTGTTTTTATAAACATCTGCTGAGGAGCTAGAGGGAGGAAGGCTTCTGGGCCTTGTTCCTCTTGCATTTATGTATCATCTCAGGAATTTGAAGTTACATCACATATTTATGGAAACTTGGTGGGATTGACTTTTGTTCAATTATAAGCACTGGTGTGCTAGAACAGGCTGGCACTAGCATGTAAGAACTGATTGTTAGATTTTTAGAAGTTTTGCAATCTGGTTATTATTAAATACAGACACCCCTGAAATTGGCTGCAGTGGGGCTATTTACACTATGGGAATTGGCAAGCGTGACAAATCAGGGTTTCGTTTTAAAAGCCCACTCACCCTGGCACACCACTGTTTGTAAAACTCTCCTTCTTAACGAAATTATATTCTCAGTGAAAGCCTCACATGGTAGTCATTTCTCAGGGAAAACAGAAGTCTGATGAGCGGCAACCGGAGATGCAGCTACGCACAGATGATCTTCAGATGCCCCTGGCGGTGTGATTTCAGCCTCTGTTTTCAATGCATAGCCTGCTTCCTTGTTTCCTTGACTAGTTACTTACTTTTAAGTGTATAATAAAATGTATCTTGGTAAGCGGACTGTGGCGGACTTTTCTCTGGGTTATTGGACTAGAGTTAGCGATCTACGGAGCAAGAGGAGGCCTCAGAGAATGACTTGCCCGCAAGGAGCCCTGCTGGGTGAGCATGAGGCAGAAGTGAGAGCTGGATGCAATTAGCTTTTGGTTGTAACCCAATTTCTGATGTGTTAGTCAGGCAATTTCACTATATGACTTCCACCCACCGCAACTCCACTCCGCCCACCCTCAGGATCAAAGCTGTCATTGACACTTCTCTCGCTGTTACTTACCTTCCATTTTGCTCCATCTAAGCTGCCCTAGAGTGGGTTGTCTCCCTGTGGGTTATGTCTCTGCTTCTGAAGAAAGCAGTTAATTGAAAAGGGATGTAGTCTCATGCATCTGATGGAGAAGACTAACTCCTTAAAGGAAGTCTATCTGTGCATCTTGAAGAAGAAAGTCCTGCCTTTGTGCGTTCTATCTCAGAGAAGCAATCTCATTTTTTTATTAGAAGGAGAAGCAAAAACCTGATTGACTTATGGGAGGGGGAACTGAGGGTGAGCTTCCCGTAGAAGAATCAGGGGTGTCCAACGCATGGCCTGGGTGCTGCAGGTAGCCCAGCACGGCCACGAATGCAGCCCGACACAGACTTGCAAATTTACTTAAAATATTGTGAGATTTGTGTGTGTGTGTGTGTGTGTGTGTGTGTGTGTGTGTGATTACAAGTCGCAATATACTTAATGTGTGGCCCAAGACAACTCTTCTTCTTCCAGTGTGGCCCAGAGATGCCAAAAGGTTGGACACTCCTGGGGCATCATATAATATAAATGATGTCCTAGCAGGTACACTTTCCCGGGCCTGAAAGGGCATATCTCGATTTGGGGGGCTTGGAGCCCTGGCAGGGTCATTCCACTGGTCATCGCTCTCCTGTGAGTCCTATGCCGATCCACAGCAAGGTTGTATCCATGCTTTGGCCCTACAAACTCAGGGCACATGAGCTCACCTTCATGAGGCAAGAGTCTCCTATTCCTGCTGCCAACGAGTTGGCCTCTCCCGGGTGGGGGCAGACTCTAGACCGCTGTCAGCTTTACTTCCCGCATTAGACTCAGGCACCAGGTCTCTGAAACTCCCCACTGCAAGAAACAGGTTTCAAAGCTCTTTTCAGGTTTCCCTCGAAGTCCTCCTACCGGGCTGAAGTTTAGAGAATTTCGTCGCTTCCCACCTCCCCTGCAAAGGGCGTCTGTGAGGAGGATTCACAACTCTCCGTTTATAAATATTATCACTACCTCCCCTTCTCCCCAGTCTGGCCTTCTCTTAGGTGCTCGGTCCAGCTGAAGTGCCCTAAGAATAGTGGGGAAGAAAGCTTATCTTCACTCCTGTAAATTCTGCTCCTTGGTGGGGGCAGCCGTCTTACTCTCACTTTGATATCCAAGTATGAATCAGATTACGCCTGCGCTAAAACTGAGGCAGGAAGAGGCCCACTCTGACATCCAGTGATACTCTTCTATGTCTAAAAGGGATCTGGATGGCTTCTAATTAAATGCAAATGTATGAAAAGCCCCAACCCCGCATGAGAGGAGCACTGAAATAAGAGCTTAATACAAAGGCAGCGGGAGAGAAAAATCACTGTTCTGAATGGTTAGACTTAAGAACATCTTTACCCAGGATGCTAGAAAGAAAAAAGTGATTCCTATGTCCCATTCGCAGTCTACTGAATAAAAAGAGTCAAGTCTTCTCAAAAAATGAACAAAATAAAGAGCAAATCAATAACAACAGAGACAAAGTTAGCAATGCCCCTGAGACCTACTGTGACCCATCTCTCATCACAAAAGCAAACGGCCTCTGTCCTCCACTGGAGTGAGCAAAAAGGGTCAGGCTCTTCGCTTTTTGTAGCCTGATGCCAAATTTGTCTCTTAAACCTAAGGCAGCCCAAGGCATCTGAGCCTGGCCACAATCAATCAGCATTATCTTCCTGATTGCTGTCCATCCTCAAATATTCATCTCTAATCCAAGTTGCTCTCCTTTACCCCAGACTTACAAACCCAACTGTATTCTCCACAATTGCACGTCAGAAGAATAATGGCTGTCTCAAAGCCAACGTGTTCAAAATGAATCTCTGAATTTTTCCCCAAACCAGCTTTTCTGGAAGCTCCCCACCCCCATGTTAACTGCATCGCATGGGCCAAAAACCTCTGAGTCATTTTCCCATTTATTCCATGAAGAGACCATCCTGCCTTCACCTTCAAAGAGAATCTCACCTCTCTTCTGCCACAGCTCTTGTCCCTGCCACCAAGATAATTTCAATAACTTCCTAAGTGGCACCTTTGTACTCAAACACATATTTAAATTTCAGTTTTACCATTTACAACTTAGTTGGATCTTGGAGAAAATACTTGCTTTCTCTGAGATTCAGTTTATTGTTTGTTTACCATAGTTTATTCAACACCTGACATAGAGTTGGAATTTAAATATTTACTGAATCAAAGAATAAATTGAGAACAGGTTTAAAATGCCAACTGATATCTGTGAAGTTCCTGATACCCAGCAGACATGGAAATGGTGGCTGCCACTGATTTTATTTTTATTAAAGATTTGGGTTTATTCCTAAGTTTTTGAACTTTTGCCATTATTCAATTTGAGATGTTTATTTAATTTCCCTTTTGTTCTTTCTCCTCCCCAAGGGAAGTTTAGGCCCAAGAGAAAACTATCTTATTTATTCAATGCTGTATCAGTACGACCTAAAACCATGCTTGGATTATTGAAATAACTCAACAAATATTGAAATGAATGAACACAAAAGATGGGACTCCGGTTCTTGGTTAGAGGGACCCGCAAGATGTAATATGCATCTGTTGCAAACAACCTCTCAACATGGTGTGCTTACCTCCCTTCCTCTAGGCCTTGAAAAACTAAGTCCAGCAATACATGGAAAATTCTAG